AGTATGTTGTATTCAAGAAGCAGTTTCTCGTACCAAGCAGTTTAAGCCGATATTTTTCGAAAAATTAAACGACCAAGTTCTTAATAAACCATTACAATAGTTTTTTTTTTTTAAATTTTTTAACTTGAAGTAATCTGTTACAAAGGTTTGATTTGATATTTGTAATATCCAACTGTCGAAACCAACACTTTAAAAGAGTAACTCGGTAAGTTTTTTACATAGCTTAAGAAAACAAACGCAACATGATTTTACAATTAAGATTGTTAAATAAGAACAAATTTTGCCCAGCTTTGGATATCAGTGCTTTTAAGGCCTCTTAACTGAGACGACCTGAAGATTGAAGACGGTGACCATGGGTGATGGGACTACTTCGTGACCATTTCACCACAAGTGATGGGACTATTTCGTGACCATCTCACCACATGTGATGGGACTACTTCGTGACCATCTCACCACACGTGAAGGGACTACTTCGTGACTATCTCACCACAAGTGATGGGACTACTTCGTGACCATCTCACCAAAGGTGATGGGAATACTTCGTGACCATCTCACCACAAGTGATGGGACTACTTCGTGACCATGTCACCACAGGTGATGGGACTACTTCTTGACCATGTTGCCACAGGTGATGAGACTACTTCGTGACCATGTCACCACAAGTGATGGGACTATTTCGTGATCATGTCACCACAAGTGATTTTACTACTTCGTGACCATGTCACCACAGGTTGTACTACTTCGTGACCATATCACCACAGGTGATGGGACTACTTCGTGACCATATCACCACAGGTGATGGGACTACTTCGTGACCATCTCACCACAAGTGATGGGACTATTTCGTGACCATGTCATCACAGATGATGGGACTACTTCGTTGCCATCTTGTTACACTACAGAAGTATTATCAATCCATGTCACATTTAAAATGACCACGATTTTAATACTCGTTTCGTATCTATATTTCAACTACTTTCAGTGAGATAATTATTCATTTTTGAGTCTCCTCTTCTTCGTTTTTTGTTATTTTTTAGTTTTCTTTGTTTTTCTTTTCTTTTTATTTTCTGTTTTTTGTTTATTTTTCAATGCAGAAAACATTACCAGCATTTATTAGCGCTGTACTCGGAAAGTTCTATTTGTTAACATCAGGGATTATATAAAATACCCGCATTAGTTTAACATTATTCATCAGCATGCAGTTCGTTTATCAGGTCCTAACAGTGGTTTATAGATGCGGTAATACTAGGAGATCTGGGCGGTCATGCTCTAAATACATGACAAACAATCGATGAATCACTTCATTCTAGAATGTCACGCAACTTGATGTTTAAGGTGAAGTAAGCTGTAAGGCTCATTGTGGTGAGTTAGCTGAAAATGTCATGATTAATATGTGCAAACACTCGTGCACAACAAAGCAGGGTAGACGACTTGCAAGTCTACATAATAATGAGACAGGATATCATGTAACAGTTAAATGACGTCTTCATAACAATGGTGTTTTAGAGCAAAATGTGTGGTGACATAATAGCAACGTAGACTGCGCTTTTATGTAGGTCAGGTAAATTCTCAACAATACCATGTTACAAAGAAATCTTGATAGATGGGTGCATTCTTGGGTGGTTAGTCGTTCATATACGTCGAAGATCTAGACATGCCACTTTTAATTACACGAGTGTCAAAAAGCCGTAACATGTGGGCAAAAATGAGCTAATGTAACTTTAAGTGCGACATTGCAAGAAAAAAAATAAAAAATATTCATAAGCCTACAGATTTTGTTTGAAGTATAACTGTAAATGGTGTCTTTTTATGTGTAACAAAAAAATCATTTTGAAACTTACTTCAGTTAAGAACAAATAGAATTAATGAATTTAGAGCATGTAACATTGACACTATTCCCAAGCTGAGATTGATGGTTCTTTGACCTGTTTAAAGTTTAGTATTAGGTTGGTTTATCTCAAAACATTGTCCATCATCTCGACTTAAAAAATTGCATTTTTCAAATTTATCATGTATTTCAGAAATTCTATGAAAACAGGTTTCCTCTTATTGTTCTGTCAATGTTACATACAATTATTAAGAGATAAATATAATCAGAATTATGTTCTTAGTAAACTAGAACAATAATTTTTTCATTGTGTTACTGTCGTATAAAGAAAATTCTTTCAATATTTTTGCAACCTTCTCATTTCAGTAATAAAGTAGTTACACATATGTTGCATGTAACATGGACACAAAAAATATGAATCATACAGCATGCCAGAAATGCTATTAAAACATATAAAACGTCCCCCAAATATAACATCGTTTAAGTAGTCGCATGTAACATTGACACAAACAACATGCAACTATTTATTTTCGTGTCAAGGATACGTACGGAAATCGTTCCCACCAAAAAATCGCTATCATGAGGTCAAACCTGTCTACTGGAGTTTTTTTGTTGAAAAAATGCAAAGCAAAATAACACAACATTATCAAAGATCATATTTTACTCCGAATGTGTGCGTAACACTTCGTTACGTGATCAAAATTACCAGATTCCGTGGTCTCCTCGAGTTCCTCTACATCGGTAGAGGCCATTTTGGAAAACTGCATAGTCACGTGCTAAGCGTTTTTATCGATAGACCGATCATTTTGCAGTTGATTAACAACTTTTACAGCACCACAATTCTTCAGGCATTTAATAAATACGACTCGGAATTTCACTAATGCAGAAATGTCACACTTTTTGCCTATAATTTATCCACTGGCGGCGTACAACTTGTGCTGCTTCCTTGTTATTCTGTCAGTTAGATCAATTTGTTTATTCATATGACGATAACAATAAACCAACTTTAATGTTTAAACAATGTTTATTCTCCATACTTGCATGATTTTGTTTTTTGTTTTTTTTTTTTTTTTATTGGATGAACTACTTTGACACTAAAATTTCATTAGCGAATTCTTGCCCTTATACAGTTTATATCGTTATACACGTGTAAATATAGATAACGTCTATAGGTCTATGGCTTTCAGATAGTAGTCGACATTCAGAGATTTTCTTCCTTTCCCATGGCTAGCAATAGCTTCTTATGCAGGTAACACGTTTCATTTCAACACGAATCTGAGTAGGCAGTAGACGACATACTTCCACTTACAATGATCAAGGGGAGACAACTCTTGTATACTGACAGACACAAAAATGTCTATTATAAAAAAATCGGCCTTCTCTTCCAGAGTTGACAGGTCAGGTTCTATAAGTATTTCGAATTTACAAAGGATTGATTTTGTCTGTTTATTTGTTTTATTTATTAGGTTTTTCTTTTCCTTTTTCATCCATTTTTATTTTATTTCCAACCTTATCAAATTTCCATGTTAATCATTAATTCGTTTTTAGGTTACACACACACACACAATACACACAATACACAAAATAAGCTGGTTTCTGTATATTTAGCAGCTAGACAAAGAACAGGCATAGATAAGACGTTTTAATTCTTAAATTGAAATTTCATATTGGTAGAGGGAAACACGATGTGGAAATTAACGGAGACATGCTCTGTTACTATAAAGGATTAACACACACACACACAAGAAAAATAATTATACAAGCGATATCTGTGGATCCCAAAAATTTAGAGAACTTGTTAAAAAGCTTTAAATCGTTCATATAGATTTGTATTTCAGTTTCCTTTGTGAAATTTAGTCAAAAGATCATATCAAAAACATCTTTCAGAAATGCAATTAACTTTGAAATAAGAAACCTTGCCGTATGAGAAATGAAAATGGTCTGCTTGGAGAAAATTATCAACGAAATCGCCTATTACATCAATTAATAAGTTAAAACAAATTAATTACATACACTTAATACCCCATTGTGAAATAGTTATTGAGAGTCGGTGATGACTATACATTAATTATGTTATTAATATATATTAACGGATGTGAATACAGAGGCAGAAATGCCTGCGTTCACTATTATCCTATTAAATCCTATTAAAAAAATATATATGGACAGTTAAATATATATATATATTCTCTGAAGTTAAAAAAAACAGAGACATTATATATACGTCTTTGGTTAAAACTATACGATACTGGCATGCAATATTTTACTTATCTTCAAACTGCAAGGGTACCGGCCTGTAATTAAAATTTCTTCAGTATTTTATCAGGTCACGAAAAACAAGGAATTCGGTGACGTGATTACATCATTATTACAATACATACACGTACATATGACGTTTAAATGTACAGATAATTCAATATACATACAGTGTACTTGTATAGTGGCAGAGGAAACGTTATCAAGCTTGTTAAAACGGACACCGTATATTTTCCCTTCAAGCATCATTCACTCCAATGTACAAAATGTAACTGTTTGCTTGTCGCCGTATTTTTGTTTTGTTCTGATTTGTTTTGTTTTTTGTTTTGATTTTTTTGTTTTTTGTTTTTTTGTTTGTTTGTTTGGTTGGTTTTTTTTCTGTTTTGTTTTTGTTATTGTTTTATATGCATTCAAATGTGTTGTTTCTAAATAGGGAAAATAAAACTTGAGTAGTCAACTAACATTTCAGTAATTACATGTAGTATACTTTTTAACTTTTCTAAGTGATCGTTTTTTTAATATTTATTATGACACCCAAAGAGTGTTTTTCTTAACCGACATGTAACAGGTAGTTTGATTTTGGCCTACCAAACAAGCACCAGCTTTGATCTGGTAACTAAAAAAACACAGTAGAAAATGATAGATGATTTAAAAATATATATCGTCCCTTTTTCTCATTTCATTTATATGTTATCGACACAATGGTAATAACATTGTTCTGTTAAAAGAACAATTTTACCATTCCGATGCAAGCTGGTACATAAATCAGGGACTTTGTCTAGTCTAGAAGTTGTCGAACTTCGTATAAAATAATAGATGGCACCACGAACTTAACATCCGCTTGGGTGCGCGCCAATCAACAAAATGGCGTGAAAAATGTCACAGGATGTGTTTGTATTCGATGTAAATATTCCAAGTCATCATGATGGGGAAACTGGCAGTCGAAGACTGCATGTGCCCAATATGTATGAGTATTCTGATCGAACCGGTGACTATGCCTTGTACTCACACTCTCTGCAAGCCTTGTTTCAAGCAAAATGTGGAGGAGGCCAGTCTGAGCTGTCCACTTTGCCGGACTAGGATTTCAGTCTGGGTCAGACGAGCGACAAAAACTGGAAGCCTGGTGAACGTAAAGTTGTGGAATGATATAAAATCGACATATGGAGATAAAGTTGAAAGGCGATTAGCAGGGGATGACGATGATGACAATTCAGGTACGATTGGGTTGTGGGCTCAGTCGCCGATTCGGTGTTAACATGTTGACCTATTTTGGACAACACCGGTGGTTTTAGGTCATTTGATACCTATAACGGTACAGTACTAGGGGCTTTCATTTCAAAGACATAATGCAGTAAATGAATGCATGTGACATTTATGCCCTGATATAGGTAATATTGTTTGCAGATACGTTAGCTTTTAGATGAGACAGTAATGCCAGCATGTGTTTTACTTTTCCATATATATTATATAGATACGTTAGATCTATACTTATCATAAGCGGACTATATTTTTGATGTCAAACTTAATCAAAATTGTTGTATAGACTTGTGATTTAGTTTAGATTCCTTACAAAACGCTAAACAATTTACAATTTATAACTATCGATGCACAATGAAATCTCCAGCTTCAATATTCCACTTTGCTAGAGAGAGTTTGGAGCTTCGCAATAATTTCATGAGTTGATCCATAGAATACTTACTTACTTATAGTTGATTTCCAGTACAGGAATTAAAATTCCTCTTCACCGGACTCGTTGTTGTTAATCAATGTAGTTCTGTCACTTCCATTCTTTTTTATATCTGCTCTGTAGCTGTAATACAGCTCCTGGTGTTTCCATTGTTTATCCAGGCGATTTTTGAATGTGTTAGTGTTGGGTGCGTTGACTACATACTCTGGTAGGTTGTTCCATACTTTCCATACTCTGTGAGAGAAGTAATGTTGCCTAAGTTTTGTTCTAGCTCTCTGGGGGTAGATCTTGTTTGAGTTTGTCCTGTTGCTACTCCTGCTTGCAGCGCTGCTCCAGCTTATAAGTATGTTGTTTGTATTTTTATATATATTCCACTCATTAGCTTGTATGTCTCGATCATGTCTCCTCTTGTCCTGCGGTAAGCGAGGGTTGGTAATCCTAATTCTTTTAGTCTGTCCTCGTAAGATAAGTTTTTAAGGCCTGGAAGTTGTTTTGTTGCCCTTCTCTGCACTCCTTCAATTCTCTCAATATCTTTTATTTTATAAGGTAACCATACCGAGCTAGCGAAGTCTAGATGCGTTCTCACTAGGGTTTTATAAAGTGGTAGGAATAATTTTTTGTCCATAAAGTTAAAAGTTCTCCGAAGCATGGCAAACATGGAATTGGCTTTATTGACTTTCTCACTTATATGATCTTCAAACGATAGGTTTGAGTCTACTTTGATACCAATGTCTTTTTCACATTCAGAATTCTCCAGCACAGTATTGTTCAATGTATATATGGTTTCACTCAGATTAGGCTTACCAACATGCATGTATTTACATTTTTGAGGATGCACTTCCAGTAACCATTTTTTGCTCCACTTTTCCATATTGATAAGGTCCTCCTGAAGTATCTTGGTATCTTCCTCACTAGTTATAACATTGAATATCTTTGTATCGTCTGCAAATAAGAAAATTGATGACTTGACTTTATCTGGTAGGTCGTTCACAAAAATTACGAATAATATTGGTCCGAGCACTGACCCTTGAGGGATACCTGACATCACCTTTGACCACGCTGAATGATTTCCGTTCACCGTAACTCTTTGTTCTCTTGATGTGAGGAAGCTGCTTATCCAATCTAGCAGTTGCAGTGAAAAGTTGTATGCCTTCAGCTTATTCAGAAGTCTGTTATGGGGGACAGTATCAAAAGCCTTTTTATAGTCTAGGTAAATGCTTAGTTACTTAGATGTTCGGGTTCATTTTTTAACAGAGACTTCTTTGTAAAAGGATTGTGGTTTGTATTAAGTACAAAGTGTTATTACAGTCTCTTGTCACTCAGTGGACGGAGCATGCTTCTTTCGCATGATTGGTAGATCCATGGATTATCACACTGGAGATAAGGGGCCTCTTCGCTTACATATGTATACAAATTGATGATGTTTCTTCAGTCTTTTAAACAAAGCATTTCAGACAGGTAGCGGGACGGACCTGAAAGGATTAATACTGGCTGGAATGGCTTAATCATAGATGACAAAAAAGCAAAATACGACAATAAGGTTATAAACAACCCTGGTCAAACCAGTGAATGAAAATGGCTTTGGTTAGATGCCTGGTCATGTCTTTCCTCTTTCTTTTGCATAATGATAACCTTTTATATGTTGGCACCCACATAGGGTCACTTAGTAATATTTAGCATTCTCTGCATGCATTTCTTTATTCCCCTGAAACTTCAGGAAAAGTTATTTTCTGAAGGGGGATACATGTAACCGTCATAAATACATATATTCCTGCTATGATATGCTGTTGTGTAAGAGTGATGTTACAAAGTTGAGAGCATATATGTCGCATACAAGCTCTGTGAGACTGGTGAAAATTTTATCTTTTATATTTGAATTAACAGAAGTGCATGCAAACAAGTACAATTTTTATTTCATTCACATTGTATAAGTATTTTGTGACTGAATGTTATGCTCACATACATATACTATGCATTGAAAAACCTAACCTTAAACCATCGTAATCAACAAAGGCTCATTACAAAGTAACTTGGGTAATGTCCAGGGTACTTTTTAAAGATATAGTGAATTATCCTGCCCATGTATACTTAAAATGCCTAATAATACCAATTTAGTTGGTACCATGGGCTCTTCAAGATGTTGCAAAGTTTTTACTCAGTTGCGCCTGTCAGATTTTAAAGTATGATTAAATCAGTAAGAGATTAAGAAGACTGAAAAGCTGTCAAGACCATGCAGGATTATACACTGACATACATATTAAACTGGATATAATCACCAGACCTCTGTCAGAATACATGGCAACAGAGAAAAAAAGCATCCAGTATATATATACTGGTTTTATTTGTAGGATTAATACAGATAAAATATAGATGAGCCCCACAGGGAAAGCACAAGTTGAGGACTAGAATGGATTGGCTATGGACCATAATATTTTCCCTTCAAAAACTAAAGCAATTGACTGGAATTTAATAAGCGAGTCTAACAGTTTGTGCTGCCTTTATAATCATATTTCATATTGTTAAGAATTTATTATAGCACTTTTATTCTTCTCCTAAAAGTGTTCCATACATTGATATACTAATACATTTTAAAGTGATACCTTATTTTAACTCGTGTATTTTTTACTTACAGTCTATCTTCCTATCATCCATCTATCCAATCCTGGAGAAATAAGAAAAGAGTATGAGGCTGAAATGCAGAGGGTAATTAAAAATGTTCTGGATGAAGTATATTCAGTGGATTTTTTCTATGAAGTCCTGAGCAACATTTCAGATACGAGTCTTTACTCAAAGCATGAGGCAAAGACTCCAATAAGAGTTCTTGATATAATATGTAATTAATGATCAACATTGTAAAAGATTATGTGATAGGTGTGGAAAAACTTACTGTCCTTTTCTAGCTCTGATTTGCCACACCTGTTTTATAATAAAATGATCAACATGTTCATGTACTGATACTTTGTCGAATACAATCTCTAACCTATAGACATTTACAAGTTACTGTTACATAATACCAGCTCTTTTTCATTTTGAATATTACAAAATAAATGTGCCTTATAATTTATGGTATGATATGTAAATTTTGATATTCAGATAACGTTATATTGATTTAATGGATGCCAAAAGTTCTGTATTGATTTTTTAATGATACATTTTACCAGCTTGCTAAACAGAGGGAGTTAGAAAGACAAAAGGAGATCGAAGCCAGTGAAGCACTTATCAAAAAACTACAGGAAGAAGAGCAAAATGTACGGGAAACGAGGCAGAAAGAAATGCAAAAAATGGAAGAAGAAGATGAAAAGTTGGCAAAAGAATTGACTGATGTCATGGAGGAGGTATGGAAACTTTACAATAAAGGTCAACTGTTAATCTATTAATCAAATTTAAACTAGGATAACTAAAGAAGTTGCAATTGGTAATTCTCAAACATGAATATATGAAGCATGTAGCTGCATTCTTGTCCAGAAAACTTGTACAGTTTTTATCCAAATATTGTGAATTATACTGATGTAGTCGACATACATGTAATCCAAACATAAACTCACACTGTGTGCAAACATGAACTTAAACTTTGTACAAACATGAACTCACACTTAGTACAAACATGAACTCACACTTAGTGCAAACATAACTATCTTTTTAGTTTTAATAAGTATTTATTCTGGTTTGATATAAAGCATGGTCATAATTCAGTAACTTTTTGTGCATTCAAATAAAAATCTGATATTGTTAGCAACTAAATGTTTAATGAAGGGAGGTAACTCAGAAAATGACACATTGTCTTCCCTCTGCTTGAAAAGGCAAGAGAAGCAACTTTTGTTCTTTATCTGCTTTTCATTATCATTTCTTCACAAAATCACATTGTAAATTATACACGATATCTTCGGACCAGTAAGATAAATTTGTTTATTTGTATAACTCTTCTATGGGAAAATGCTGGTAACAGGAATCCGTTGAAGTTTAATATTTCATTAATGGGAAATTAAAGAGATAACCATGTAGATCTTAGTACATAGTTTACTTTTATGGAACAAACACAAATCTTGGTATAATATGAGTATATGCAGCATTTTTCCTTTTTCCTGAATTATAATTAATTGTTCATTTAACGCCAGCAGCCAAAACATTTCCAACAGGTAACATATTAACACAAGTTAGATTAATATCCACATCAAGTGAAAGTTTTGTTAGATTACTATGGATAAGGACAAACATACATTACACGATAAAAAATAAAGGCACATTAGGACTTGGTTTACTGTGACATCCTCCAGTCCAATGTTTGGAGATGTGCTGAGTATTGTGGTATTAACATTAGTAAGCCCAAAGAACTGTATTTACAATAGTTTCTAAAAGATTATTAATGATAGTAAACTAATATTAAAGATCATGGTAAGATTGAATTTTTGAAGCAATAATATTACTTGTTTGTTTATTTTACAGGCTGGCACAGATGCCCCAATCAACTTTCTAATGGCTGAATCTCGATCAAGATTGACAAGGTCTTCCTCTGCTGTTACCTGCAGTAGTGGCAACAGTGGTCGGTCCAGCAGTTTAAGGCCAGCATCCACTATTGAATCATTCATCAGTAAGATGAGAGAGGCAGAGAAGTTGAAAGAAGCCGATCGCATCTCTAGTTCATCATCACTACAATACCTACAAAGTACACCTGATGGAGATTTTTTAGAGAAATCTGAGAAATTTTTGAAGGTAGACAAACGCACAGACACTGACAGTAAGTCAAGTGATAGTTCACTACCATATATGTGCAATGACAGAGAAAAAAGTGACAGTAGCACAGATATGTCTGTTAAAAGTAAATCAAGAGCAAGCTCCTGGAATTATGGCCTTGTTGATTTACATACAGAAAATGGCGGATTATTCTCCAATGAATTGTCCCGAGACTTATCTAAAGATTCATCTTGTGCAACAGATGGTCTTATTTGTCTTGGTGCAGAAAGCAAATGTGCCAGTAGGTCTGTTGTTATATCTCCTGACATTGAAGTTATCACAGACAGACTTCAGCAGGAGTTGCTGGAAAATTCATCTTCATCAACATCAAAAAAGGATAGAACATCATCGAAAGTATCAAGGGCATCGAGTATACAGAGTGAAGACAGCATTACACAAGAATTGAATCATTTTAAACCTATTAATGTGTGTCCTGTGACCCCACCAAGGAAACTGGCTAGTGGTAAAGTCATTGAACCTCCTTTGATACGAACCACACCGCGGAACCTGAATAAAACTAGTTTTAGCTCTCCTACTAATCATGAATTGTCACTATCTGATTTAGATGCATGTAGTCCAATTATGCAGAGGCGATTGTCAGAACTTGAAGAGGAAAGGAAAAGTAATGTCCGCCGATTGTCAAAATCCACATTGACCATAAAAAGATATGATGAGGGTGATACAAATGAAAATGAATCTGTGGTGCCTGCTGATGTTGACAACAAAAACAATTCTGCAAAAGTTGAACAGACACAGAAAGCATTAAAAAGAAAAGCTATGGATATAGATGATGTGGTTTCTTCCAATGAAGCTGGTGTTGTCAGGAAGTTAATGATTCCACTTGAATCAAACATTGATGATTCTATGGATTTTGACATTCCACCACCATTGTCGGAGAACAACAATATTATCAATGTCGACAGTGATAGTAGGAGCTCCTCTGGCTCAGCTTTGTTAAAGAAAAAACAAAAGAGAACTGGGAAACAGAAACAGGAAGACAATATCTCACAGACACAAATCATATGCAAAAAAGGACCATCGGAAGAAAAGCAAAGATGTGATTCATTCAGCCCCCAACGATCTATTACAGACTGGGTAGTGAAGGCAGACAAATCTTGTAGAGGTTCACGGCAGTCGCCAAACTTCTTTACGCAAACATTGCAAGCGGCATGTCTTGGAAGGGATGAAGTGGATGGCGATTTAAAAAGTAAAGTTGAGGCTAGAAAATCACAAACCAGAACAATTGATCATTTTATGACCAAGGTAGACAATGAATGTAAGAAATCCAAAACTATTCAATCAAAAAGAAAGAGGAAAACCAATCAGAATAAAGACTATGTGTGGCCAGATTATAGTCCAAAAAAACGAGACACAGCTCCTAGACATCCTGTACCTAGTTCCTCAGATTTTTTTGCAAGTGATGTGGTGAGTGATGAAGAAATTAATTCAAGTACAGATATTGATACTCAAATTCCAACAAAGACTAGCAAAAGGAGGTGTATTTCAGACCGTGAAACTGATAGAGCAGATTTCAAAAGAAGAAAAGTTGATGAAATTCCAAAAAGAAATTATACAAAGAAACTTAAATCTCTGAAAAAATCCTCCTCAAGTCTAACCAAAAATAGCAAAGGCAAAGTGAATTTGCAAAAGTGCAAGAAATTGGAGGATTCCGTTCTTTCTAGTGATATTTGTAATGTTACTGACACCGATGTTCTTGACCTGTCTGAGTCTGGTGTGTCATTACCTGTAGATGCAAATTTGAACATTGTTTGCATGGATTCTTCAAAAGAGGTATATGATATCCTCCACACAAGGAAAAAGCAGGAAGAAATGGATAAATTGTTAGCATTAAAACTTTCAAAGGAATTTGAAATTGAAGCCAAACTTGGATTGACTGCTTTTCGTTTTAAAGGCAATGACAATGAGTACAAGCTTCGACGCCATCCACGTTCGAAATCTAAAAAGTTGGAAAATGTTTATTTTGACACGTAGACTGTCATTTAAGAGTTAGTTTTTGCAATGTTAATATGTGTAAATGTTATAGTGTTTTAAATTTTACCAGAGCGTTGATGACATTTTCAATGTGTAATGTAAAATAATATTATCCTACAGCAAATGTTTTACCATATTTATCCACAAATGAGCCTCCTCCTTAAGTGTAATAGTTTAGTGCAGGGAAGGATTATTTGTGATCTGTTTTTATTTTACTATTTTGAAATTAATGATTCTGTAAAAAATGAAAAAGAGGGCTTATTTGTGGGGTGGGGCATATTTTTCGGGTTGGGCCATATTTCTGGGTTAGGGCATATTTCTGGGTTACAGCTTATCTGCAGATAAATATGGTAATTTGGAAGCTGCAATCACTTGTTGTGTATAGATCTAGACTGAAAAGGTACATTTGTATTTTATTTGTTGTATAACCTATTTGCCTATTGACATTTTGGCAGAGGCCTGTTGTTAATTTTACCTAATACAGGACATTTATTATTTATGGTATTATCTGCAGTCTTGGTATTAAGTTGATGCATAAAAAAACATCAAGAAAATACCAACATGTCAACATGATCATAGTTATCCGAACTCCAATTCAATAAAACTAGGACAAAATATGAACAAAAGAAAGATTTACGTCATTCTATCCATGTCTAGTTGCAACTTGATGCATTTGAGGTAATTGAAACTCCATTCAACTTCTATTTATTTTAATCATTTAAATATAATGAAAAAACAAAATTAGAAATGGTAATTTAAGATTTATAAATGGTTTAAGAATGGACCATTTACGTACAAAATGATTTACAAAGAGACCATATTTTTCTGTATCATGTACATAATTAAAGTCTATCTTGATGCTTTGAGGTAATTGAAACTCCATTCAACTTCTATTTATCTAGGTCAAAAATGAAAGTTAATGCTGCACCAAATAGTATTTCATTGGTATTCCATTAGTCCTGCTAAAAGAGAATCATTTTTGGTACCAGTAAAAGACAATTGGGAAAATAGTGTTTAAATGGCAGTATAGCCTTTGAAATATTGTGAATTGAATAGCGCGTCAGTGGATTTCTCGAAACAAGTGGTATTTCAATAGCATTTTAATGGTATTTCATTTGTCTGTCGACCGTTTTTTAAAACTTAGTCAGGTCTGTCACTGTGTCGAACTAAACTCTGTATTGAGGTCAGTCACTATATGCAAATTACACTTTTAGGTGTGAAATTGTACTTAATTACATTCAAAGATCAGCCCCATTACTGTACCTAGCAATATATCATTATCACTTTATCTAAGTACATTTCAGTATTAAATTCTTCACTGTACTAAACAACAACTCAATATCAGGACCTTTTACTGAATCTAACACTATCATATTATCAGTTTCTTCACTGTAAGTAAGTACATGTCAATGTATCTACCTACATCACAATACCAGGTCCCTCACTGTGTCTACCTACATCACAATACCAGGTCCCTCGCTGTATCTACCTACATCACAATACCAGGTCCCTCACTGTGTCTACCTACATCACAATACCAGGTCCCTCGCTGTGTCTACCTACATCACAATACCAGGTCCCTCACTGTGTCTACCTACATCACAATACCTGGTCCCTCGCTGTATCTACCTACATCACAATACCAGGTCCGTCACTGTGTCTACCTACATCACAATACCAGGTCCCTCGCTGTGTCTACCTACATCACAATACCAGGTCCCTCACTGTGTCTACCTATATCACAATACCAGGTCCCTCGCTGTACCTACCTACATCACAATACCAGGTCCCTCACTGTATCTACCTACATCACAATACCAGGTCCCTCGCTGTATCTACCTACATCACAATACCTGGTCCCTCGCTGTGTCTAACTCCATCACAATACCAGGTCCCTCGCTGTATCTACCTACATCACAATACCTGGTCCCTCACTGTATCTACCTATATCACAATACCAGGTCCCTCGCTGTATCTACCTACATCACAATACCAGGTCCCTCACTGTATCTACCTACATCACAATACCATGTCCCTCACTGTGTCCTAACTACATCACAATACCAGGTCCCTCACTGTATCCAACTACATCACAGTATCAGGTCCTGCATTTTATCTAACTACATTACAACATCTGGTCACACACTATGCATTTGCTAAATCACAATATCCAGTCTATCACTGTATCTAACTGCATAACACAATTAAGTTTCACTCTTTATAATTACATGACTGTACATAAAAATGCATCCTTGTCAACATTCTGGTATGGTATAAAATAGGTGCGAGCTGGTATATGTAGAGGTTTTGAGGATGAAGAGTACAATCTTTTCCCTAATAACGAAATTGAAACATTGGAACATCATTAGTTTTTTTTCAGGATTAACATTTGCGATGTTAATAACAGTTCTAGTTGAAATAATTGTTCCATCAAAGGTATATTGATCATTTATTTTAAAAATAATAAGTTCTGTCAGTTTACATTTGATGTTTGTTCATGCGCTTTTGAAGTGCACATTCACATGGCCTAACTAGCAATTGTCATTAATGTAAGAATTTTTGTTTTTGTTTTTTTCCTACATTTTATGCAGCAATGATATATTGAGCAGTTGATATTAATTTTGTTACCATATATAGATATAGAACTGAGTATTATGCTTAAGTGGATACAGAAAGAAATTGATGAAAACATCAAACATAAGTAGATACTTACCTGAAAGTGAAAACTTTCCTGATAACAGTGATTTAGTAATTATAAACTAAGGCGCAAGATGTAATAGAAACTTTTTAAATACCTAGTGGTGTTCAGAAAATGATTGTTTTAGTAAATGAAATTTTTAAAAGTTTACTCAAACTACCTTTTTATGCTTGGCAATTAAAAGGTAACAGTGATAAATCATATATAAGGATTGGCATGTCAGAGTCAGAGAAAATGTTTGCCAATTTAACTAATGAAAATCTCCATGAAAGCAATTTTTATTTTATACAATTCTAATGTCTCAACTGTCTCCACAACAAGCATTGTTAAAAAAGGGGCATTATTTTAGTTTGTGTAATAAAATGAATGTTTAAAAATGCACATAAAGTGAAAATAAATTATACTGAATTATCTGAAGAACATGTTGGAAGTTGTCTATGTTTGGAATTCTGTGTATTATTAACAAGAAAAAACGCATACGAGTGCAGCACTTGGTTGTTTAAGATATACAACCATTTGGTTCTTTAAATGTAAAGACCTTAAATTACAACATTTGTATCTCCAATTTAGATAGCATCTGGTATACATCACTTTTCATAAAAAAAATACAAATTCAAAACGATACAAAGTTTTACAACATACAAACAAATGACATTTGTTTTTAGAAAAAAAACGTCGCCTAAGGGATTGATTTGCCAAATTGTGTTTATTAAAAGAAAAATAAAAGTATGAATCCAGTTAGAAACAGTTACAATTATATGCTTCATAGAACATATGTTTCACCCATTTGCTAGCAAGAATGATTCTGTAGCTTTTCTTGGTCAGTCTGTAAGAATATCTAAAATGGTTAAACTACAGCTCGAGGAATTTTAAGTGACGCATAAATGCTTATGATATCGTTATGAGTGATATCATTTGTGAATTGAAACAATGTATAGCAAACCCATTTCTAGTAGAATAGAGGCCATATTTGATATATCTCTGTTATCCATAAACGGTTCTATTTGCAATGTTAGTGTGCAAAGGCAAAGTTAGTATTGGATTGCTTATAAGTGTTAGAGGGAAAATGCAATAATAATCTTTGGTTACAACATATAAAACATAAGTACAACTGTCTACAGCAACATGAAGGAAGAAGTGCAATGACTAAGAAAATGATCTGATGTTTGCAAAATATATTGCAATTTGAATTTTACACGGTAACATTTCTGATTGAAACAGAGTCTCAGAAACATTATTTTCAATTTCGTTTTCTGTCTATCTCTTCTTTTAGGTTTCCTGTACACATCTTTGATGCTGTGTTTATATGGATACAAGTCTTACCTGTATTATCAGATAGTTTGGTAGTAACCTTTCATTTTGCTTTAGGAGTTCTCATATGATCATTGATCATCTTCACGACACGTTATGAAATACCTTAAAAGTAAGTACTTTAAACCGATCACGGGTAATTAATATGTCTACGGTAACATTTGAGTTAGTCATTATTGATATTAGAATTAAGTGCAAATTGAGCATTTTCAAGTAATTTAGAAATTGCATATCTAAGTGATTAAATTGGGTAACGATAGTGATGTTTTACCGGGACACACGAAATCATTGATTGGTTTTGGTTATTAATTAGTACTCTTTATTTCTTTTTTTTTCATGCTTCTTTTTTCTATGTTTTTATCTTAAACAATAAGAAAAAATCCATTGTATCAATGGAATACTTCGTTAAAATATCAAATATCCTCTTAGTGTTTGTTATATGTCTCAAAGGTATACTCTAAGATATAGATGAGAGAGAGAGAGAGAGAGAGAGAGAGAGAGAGAGAGAGAGAGAGAGAGAGAGAGAAACCAAAATTTAGTGCTTTCTGCAATGTCATTGCTTATTTCATCAACATCGAAAGTAACTTAATGTATCGTTCATATCTTGTATGTTTATCATATGATGCCTATATTGTTACATGGTACATATATGAAATCATTCACTATTTCAGTTCGTGCATTTAATGTTCCCAGTACACTTCTGGCGTACCTGTCTAAAGATGTTACATACCTTGTCCTATTCTTGTCTCTGTGTTTTAAGCATTTTCGTATGTAAGATGTTTCCTTTTTGATTATTTGAACGAAAATTTTGTGCTTGCGAATCACATTAAAATGACATACACATGTACAGTTTTGCTTACAAGACAAGTCGTTATTGTCTTTATTTGAAAATGTGTATATATATTCTCCTCACAAGAATTATTATTTAACAGATTATTAAACATTGCTATATAAAGAAATATTAATATGTGGCGACACTACAGTATGAAAGTTTTATCCATGTATTGTGAATAATATGTAATATATATAATGTCAATATTGATCAAATATTCAACGATGGACTTGATTACTTTAATTGTGTAACTTTGTGATTTCTTTTTAAACCATATTGCAACACTATGATTTAACACATAGATTGTTTTATCTGTTCTTTATACGAGTCTATGGTTTATGCATTCACTTTCGCTTGTTCTGTTTCAGAATACGAAGCTCTCGTTACATTAATATCATGTGATTCAGAAAAGACGGAAGCACTTCATTGCTAAGTA